GTTTTATGTCAACTTGACAGGAGCTACAATCTTCTGAAAGGAGGGAACCTCAATTGAGAAAACGCCTCCAGCTGGGCAGTGGCGGCGCACCCCTTTAATCCCAGCACTCAGGAGGCAGAGGCAGTGTTCAAGGTCAGCCTGGTCTACAAAATGAGACCTGGGTCAGCAAAGGCTACATTTTCTTTACTGTTTCAGAAAAGAAAGAAAGAAGGAAGGAAGGAAGGAGGAGGAGGAGGAGGAGGAAGGAGGGAGGGAGGGAGGGAGGGAGGAAATACCTCTAAGATCTCTGGCTGTAGGGAGTTTTCTTAATTAGTGATTGATGGAGGCGAAGGGGAGTCAAGACCATAGTGGTTGGTACCAGCACTGGGCTGGTGGTCCTGGGTTCTGTAAGAAAGCAGGCTGAGCAAGCCGTGAGGATCAAGCTGCTCCATGGCCTCTGCATCGGTCCCAGTCTCCAGGTTCCTGCCCTGTTTGATTTCCTGTCCTGGGTTCCTTCAATGGTGAACTACGATGTGGAAGTGTAAGCCCAAGAAACCCTTTCCTCTTCAACTTGCTTTTGGTTGTGGTGTTTCATTACAGCAATAGAAACCCTGACTAAGACAAGGTCCAACCTGTTCATTAATTTATTTCATCTTTTTAATTTCATTCTTAATAATGATACGTATAAATAATAACTCCCCCTCACACTGTTCCGCCAGATGGTTTACAGCAAGTACTATTTCATGTAACTTTGCAAAAATCCCAGTGTGCTGGTGTTATTGTCAAACTAAGGAAATGGATGGACAGCAAGCTGAAGTACCTGGCTCCGGGTCACGATCATCACAACTGCAGGTTCTCACAGTCCCCTGACATCAGCTCTCTATTTTCACCACACCTTCCCAATACCGAGTCAAATAGGATCAAACTGGCGGCATCTATGATGTGGGGTGTTTTCTTGTGTTTATTTTCTCATCCTCTTCATTCTCAGCCATCCACTCTAACCCCAGCCTTTGACGCTGTTGGCGCCTGTTGCTAAGTTAAAGTGGAACACAGTGAAGTCCAGAGGAAGGTTCTCATCAACCGAAAACCACCAAACCCAGCCACCAAAGAGACGACTTGCCTTGGAGATTCCATTTTTGGTCACCTATTTCTAACAACTGTTTTTCCTCCCTGTCCCTTCCCTCCCTCCCTCCCTCCCTCCTACCCTCCCTCCCTCCCTCCCTTCCTCCTTCTTTCCTTCCTTCCCTCCTTCCTATCTGAGTTCTTTTGTTTTGTTTTGTTTTTGTTTTTTGTTTTTTGTTTTTGAGACAAGGTCTCACATAACCTGGCTTAGCCTCATACTCACTATGAAGCTAAGGATAACCTTGAACATCTGATCTTTCAGCCTCCACCTCCTGATTTCCTGGCCTATCCTCTTCTTGCTGAGACCTAATCATGTTCCTTTGGAGCAGATTCCACAGGAGACCAAGAGGTGTGAAGTTATTTGGAAAAAGTCACTAGATGGGTATGGATTTGTGAAAATGACACTATGAACATTTTGGGACTAGGTCACAAAAAGTCATTGCATGGATACCTCACTGCTTCATCCACTTAACTATTGACTGAACGAATACAATACAGCACCTAAAAGGAGTCTTGCTCTGATTCTTTTGGGGGAGGGAGACAGGGATTGTGGCAGCTATGTTCCCACCTGGGTAATTTCTCTTCTCTTGTGGCTGACTCCCCATGATGGGTCCTCTGGTGGAATGACGTCCCCTGGTGCCCACGTGGAGACTCAGAATGAAAACCCTGAGAAAGCTCCTCATGGTGTCCTCCTGTTCTATTGCTGTGAAGAGACAACCACGACCAAGGCAGCGCTTGGAAAGGAAAGCATTTGACTGGGGCTGGCTTACAGTTTCAGAGGTTTAGCCCATTAGCATCATGGGAAGGGAGCGTGGTGGCACACAGGCAGGATGATGAGGCTGGAAAAGTAAGAAAAGTGGTTGAGAGCTTTGCATCCTTACCCTTCAGGCAGAAGGCAGATGCTGGGGTAGGAGAGAGAGAGAGAGGGGACAGCAAGCTAGGGGCTTTAGAAACCTCAAGTCCCACTGCCAGTGACCCACCTACTCCAACAAGGCCATGCCTCCTAATCCTTCCCTGACAGCTCATCATATGGGGACTAAACATGAACATATATGAGCCTATGGGGGCCAGTCTTAGTCAAATCACCAAACATGGGTTGTTGGTCTCAAGGGCATCTCTCTGTGACTGATTAAAAACAAACAACAATAGCAACCACCACCAACGTCTCCAGCTAGCTGGCAGAGACAGCTCCCTCCACTTTGGGAGAGACTCTTACAGTACCATGGCAGGGGACTCTACAGTGACGCATCTCCTAGCATCTGAATGGATGAAGAGAAGGGGAGATGAGGGAGGAGAAACCTCATCTTGCTCACTGGGACCGAAGAAGTATTACAAAGACCTGGATCTGGGAGAACAAACAGACAGAAAGTGAGCCACAGAAGATCTCAGTGGCTCATGACCCAGCTGTGAGGGACAGTGCAATGAGAGAAGGCTAGGGAGGTCGCAGAAGTTGGACCACAGGCATTTCCATGCCAACCTGGTGACTTCTGTCTTTATCTTCTGGGTGACAGCAGTCAGTCATTCAGTGCTTTCAACAAAGAGAGGAATAAACTGAAGTTGAGTTTTTCCACCGGACACAGAGGCAGAATCTGGGTTGGGGAGGGTTAAAGACAGAAAGGGTTCCCCAGTTTTCAGGGGGTTGTGAACCAACTTATGAGGAGCCACCAGGCTGTACCGCAGGAGAGCGTGATTCTTGGTGTCTGCTTAGCTGGAAGGAGGACAGGGAGCCAGGGCTCACTCACAAACTTCTCTCTCAGAGCCACCAGAGAAGAAGCGGGTTTCCTCATGCAGTTCTGAACGGGCAAGATCTCCATCCTGTTGCTATTCTATTTCCCTTTCATTTAGTTTGGACAAGGGAGGCCACACTCCTTCAATAAGGCCTTTCTTTCCCCTAGCCGAGTGGGTTATTCACTGAAGTTGGTGGCAGGGGAGCTGACGGGAGGGCCGAGGGCCAGGAATATTAGTAAACATGGAGCAAAGACTTAGATGGTTGTTAAACAGGGAGCTCGGCTCAACTGGGAGGTGGCAGCACCTGCCCTGCGTCCCGTGTTTCAGATGCCCAGAGCCCTGGCAGAAGCCTAGGTCTGGCCACTCATTCATTCACCCAGCAGGCAGCGAGAAACTGTCTCCAAACCCAGGAAGACAGAGGCACAAAAATCAAAAGCAGTGTACCAGGGGACAGGTTCTGGGCTCCAGGATGCAAGATGGAGTCGGTTCTTCCAGGCCTCAGTGGACCTATTTTTTTTTTTTTTTTTTGACAATGGGGTTTCATTTGCTTTTCTGTTTTCAAAATGTCTACACATTTCAGACTCTGGAAGGCCCTCAGTCCAGTAACCAGGAGGCCAAAGCACCACACGGTTCAGGATGCATCCCAGCATAGCAGTGCTCAGCCCCTAACTTCCGGCGACTAGCTCAGAGGCTGGACCCTGGCTCCCTTCCCAACACATCCTAGCCTCACAACAGGAAGAGAGGGGAAAACCCTCTTCTCCTTTTTACTTTACTTCCTTTCAAACTATTTTTTTTTATTTTTATTTTATCCAAGGGTCTCTCCTTTCTCTCTCTTTGACTCCATTTCCCTATCTTAGATCAGTACTGGGAGCTCGGTTCTGCGATCACGGTACTTAGGAGGCTGAGGCAAGAAGATTGCTGGATTCTTGGCCAATCCAGGCTATGTAGCAAGTTCCAGGCCAGCCTGGGCTACAGAGTAAGACCCTGATTCAAAACAGCAGCAAATCTCCTTGTCTGTCTGTCTGTGCTTATCCCTGTCGCTCTGTCTTGCTCTCAAGTGTGTGTGTGTGTGTGTGTGTGTGTGTGTCTTTCTCTTTCTTCAAATTTCAAAGAAACCCCCACTGAATAGCTGACTATTCAGGACCTGTGGAATGAGGCCTCTTTGGGCTGGGCTGTAGTCCTTTGACTACACGTCTCAAAGGGGTTGCAGGCTGATCTACCCAGAGCAAGGCAGTGGCTGTGGCAGCAATGCTCCCTGCACCCGAGACTGGCCATCTGTATGCAAATCTCAGCGGCCCAGCAAACTTGCATCAGCCTAACTGGCCTGGCGGGCTGTGCCTCAGCAATTATCAGTGCACATCGGGCCTTTGTGCCCGCGGCCGGGCTTTGTGGGCGCCGAGGCTGCCCAGCACCTGCATCTCGGAGGTGGCAGATGGCAGGACTTGGCAGCAATATGGAAGTTTGCCTGAATGTGGCTGAGCCACAAATGGACATCTTTTATTTCTTCCTGGGGGTGGGGAGCTCAGGAGAGGATTAGTGCTAGATTACCACCCATTCATTCACTTGGCAAATATTTATTGAGTGCCTACTATGTGTCCTGCCACCAGTGGCCTAAGAAGGAGCCCCTCAAAGGACACAGTATGACCATTAAGAGAAAGAAAAAGGCCTGAGAATGGACTATTGACATTCAAAAATCACTACATAGGCAGTTGACATTCCTGGGGACAGTGACCAACACAGTATAACACGGGGGCTCCTCCCCTCCTGTAGGCCCACAGTGCCCAGTCAGTTTCTGCCTGATTGACTCATACATTGGCCATGGTCAGGCACATGCAAGACCACAGCCCCACAGCTGTAGTGTTCCCACCCAGGTGTTGAAGTAGCACGGAACCAGCATGAGGTTCATGCCTTTGATTCCAGCACTCGGGCAGAGGCAAGTGATCTCTGAGTCTGAGGCCAGTCTGGTCTACAGAGTGAGTTCCAGGACAGCCAGGGCTACACAGAGAAACCCTGCCTTGAAAGCCACAGCAGCACTGAAAGTCCATTAAGTGAAAACTTGCCTCCTAGACAGTAGGATGGAAACCACCTCAGGGCAGACACAGGCCATGGACTGTTCCCTAAAGAGTTGATCCAAAGACTACCCCTTAGGAAGGGCTACATCTGAAGCCATGTTAAAGAGATGGGAAGAATAGTTAGACCTTTAATGAGATGATGCACCCTTTCTTCCCAGAACTCCCCGCTCTGTCTCAGTCCCCGTGGTCTGCCATGAACTCCCACTGGGTCGGCCTAACTTAGAAACACATTATTTTTCTCTTTTTCTTCTGCACTTTTCTTCCGGGTGCTGAGCAGACCCTAAGTACGCTTTCTCTGGTACACTGATGTTTTCTTCAGTCTTTCTCTTCTGCTCCCCTCCCAACACACGGCTGCTTGTCCAATGTCTAGCTGACCTCCATGCCAGCGAAAATGGCTTGGCTTTCCTTCTTCTGTCTCCCTCCTGGCAGCTGCTCTATTTACAGCTTACCTGTTTGGGAGTTTCCCTTCTAAAGTTGTCTTTAAGCTTCTGTTTGCGTCTGTTCTTAAATTCTTCTGTTAATGAGGCTATGAACCCCAGGAGGGGACCCCAATTTCCCAGTATCCTATAGCTGCATATATTCTTTAAATTACATTATTATGTGTGGGGATGCACGCATGCACGCATGCATGCCAGATGAGCTTGTGGAGGTCAAGAGAACAGCTTGTGGGTCCTAGGTATTGAACTCAGAACATCAGGCTTGGCAGAAAGTACTTCTACCCACAGAGCCATCTCACTAGCCCAGGGGTGCATAATTTTCTTGAGCTAGGGCTGGCAGCTAGGATGATTGGCGTCTGCTTTGGAGACAGCTGTAGCCACTCATCTTCTAGAAATAGGTTGACCTCCTCATTCAACCTTTCTGGATATACGTTTGCAGATTCACACCTAAGTGTGTTTCCACGGCGACCCGTGCAAGAGCATCCTTCTGCAGAGTGCGGCCAGCTGACGCTGGCTATGTTTGTTATGTTCTTGCTGATGAGATGAAACACCTGTCAGAAAAGAGACCCGTGGAAGGGAGGGTTTATTTGGGCTCACAGTTTGAGGGTACCGTCTGCCGTGGCGGGAAAGGCATGGTATGAGGTCATATCGCATCTGCTGTCAAAGTACCAGCGGATGAATGGAGGTGCTTGGCTCCTTGCTCGAGTGTACTGGGAACCAAATTCAGAGCTCTGTTTATACTAAGCAAGCACTCTACCACTCTGCCAAGTCCCACTCCTTAAATTTGTTCAACATAGCCCTTTCTGGGTGGACTGAAGGACAAGGGATCTCTACTTTATATGGCTATTGCAATGTTAGGATACTTTTAAGGAATCACTCAAATAGGGCTTAAAGATTAATTTTTTTTATTTTTTAGCTCAAAATGAAGACTGCCCTTGCTGTCACTCCACACATCTGAGCCTAGGTTTCCATACAACTGTACTCATCATCCAATTCCTGGGTCCTTGTTCCATCTCCTAACCTCTCCTTGCTTCACATCACCTTGCTGTGTCATTCCGGCCTCGAACCCCCTCCTGTAGAAGCCGAGTGTTTTGATGCTGTGTCTGCAAAACACCTGCACTATATTATGAAGGTGTGGGAACATGGACGAAAACCCACTCGGGAGGGATGCTGCCAGATCTTACTGTTCCATTTGTCTTGGTCCATTAGGGCTGCTATGACAAATGACCATAGATGAAGTGATTCCCAACCACAAGCATTTACTTCTCCTCGCTGCAGCTGCTGCAGGTCCGAGGTGAGGGGTGAGGAGGTGACTTCTGGGAAAGCCCCCATCCCTGGCCTGTAGGAGTTCTTGTTGTGGTCTCTTACAGCGGAGAGCTGGGAGGAGGTTCACTGCCGTGGACAGGCACAGTGCGGCTCAACATTGTGTTCAGTCTGTGATACCATGGGGAAGAAAAATGAGGCTGAAGAAAACACACAAGTCAGAAGGAAACCTTACATGGCTGTCAAGACCTTTCGAATGAAGGTAAATCTAACAGTGGGATGAGGTCTGGCAGTTAAAGAAGAAACTACTCCTCATCCTCACCCCACCCTCACACTCCCGCACCCCCGCAAGGTGCGGTTCCCCATATCTCCTGAAAATAATGATTTGGTGCCATTTGGGGAAATGTAGTCAAAACACTCGGTGTGGTCGAGTGTGAGGGCTGTTGCCATCACAGAGGCACTGAACCTAATTCTCATGGCCAGTAGGAAGTCGTTCCCTGCTCCCTGGGTCAGGAGCTGGATCACACTACAGTCCTGTGCCCTAGAGGCTCCAGATACCACCTTCTGCGTATTTCCAGAAGGAAGAAAAGTGGATCGCCAGGATGGGAGTTCAGCATAACAGTTCATAACAGTTCACTCTGTGTGGGGAGTTGTTTTGTTTGCTTGTCTTGTTTTGGTTTTTGCTGTGTCGTGTTTTGAGACAGGGTTCCACTACATAGCCCAGGCTGGGCTCCAACTCACTGTACCCCTTTCTCAGGTTTCTGAATTGAAAGGTTTACAGGCTTGAGCCATCGCCACACCCTGTTAGAAGCCAGTTTAAGAGAGGCCAGTAATCCTAGAGGAAATATTCATGGAGGGGGAGGGGGGTCTCCTAACTCAATTGACATAAAAGTGAAGAAGAGGGGAAGGGAGAATTTTAAAAATTAAGAGAGAGAGAGAGAGAGAGAGAGAGAGAGAGAGAGAGAGAGAGAGAAGTAAAATGAGTTGAAGACCAGTCCCGTAGCTCACACAAGATCTTGAATTCAGGATGGGACTTGGATGCTGGTCAGTGAAAAACCGTGTTAGGTCCTGGGCTTCCTCAGGCCCATTTAGACTGGGGAGTAATGGCTTGAAAGGATTGGAAATGGGAAGTAAAGATGAAGGTAAACCAGGGTGCTAAAGTCAGGGGAAGGAGCTCTTAAAGATAAGTAGATGCCTCTTCCTTGACGGAAGATGAGGTAGACCGGAAAGGAGAAGAATTCTGTTTGCCAGGAGTCATTGTCCCTATCTCCCAATCTGCTGTGGTAGGACCGGCCGGAGAGAATTGCTCTAGTTAAACAAGAAGTGTGTGTAAAGGAACCCAGCGCTGTCCCTGGCACATAGCAGGGTCATAACAGCTGTTTGATAAATGACTCACCCTGCAGATGAATGAGAACGGGGAGGAATGGGGGGAGAGATTAATGAGTGACAGGCCGGATAGATGTGGGCATGCGTGAAGAAGGGAAGAAGGGAAGAAGGGAGGGGGAGATAATTGCTAAGTGTATTCCTTAAGATCCTGCTCTAATGCTGTCTCCTCCAAGAGGAAGAAGCCCCCAAAGACTTCCTTCCTCTTACCCATACCCGTCTACCCACACCCCAAGGGAATTCTTTGACCATGCCCCTCGCTGATATAAAGGTTGCTGCTTCCTGAATGACTTGGGGAATATGTTCAAAGGCTAGATGTAAGATTCTATATGCTTGAAGCAGATCTCACCTACATACTGAGTAGTCATGGTGTGAGGCTGTAAGAGAGACAAGGTTTTCCATGGTGAGCATAGCTTCAAGTATTTACTAACACACTCTGCCTCCCATCCCTCACTTTCAACCTCAACCATGACGACTGGGGTATAATCTGGAAAGCCCCCAAGGGTCATATGAGTTATCCCCCTAGAAACTTGGTTGCCACCATTTCTCATAAAGATCCAGCCTACATTTATTGTACCCTGGTTTTATTAGACTTATTGGTTGGTTGGTTTGTTTGCATGCTTGCTTGTTTTCTTTTGACTTTTTGACTTATTGGCTTTATAAGGCTTTTTGGTTATAAGTTAGTTATGATGTTTAGAACTCTAGGCACTCAGGGAAACCAAAGTAAGGGCCATTGAATCCTTGCCTTTATCTGCTCCCTACTGTAGGGCTAGCAGCAAGTCCCCAAGTGTCTGAGGCATCTACTTATCACAATCCCTTTCTTTTGAGTAGGTCCATGGGGTAAAGTGGCAGTGCAAACCCTTCAGGGGAGAAAGCAGGGACTCCCATAGATGAAGGGGGAAAGAATGGACTCTATTGTTACCATGTGATTCTTAGCCAGATGTCAGGTTTTGGGAAAACAGAAAGCAGTGTGTGTGAAAAGGAGGTGGGGGGCGAGGGAGAGAGGTGGAGAGAGAGAGAGAGAGAGAGAGAGAGAGAGAGAGAGAATATGTACGTGTGTGTGTGTGTGTGTGTGTGTGTGTGTGTGTGTGTGTGTGAGAGAGAGAGAGAGAGAGAGAGAGAGAGAGAGAGAGAGAGAGAGAGTGTATGCTCGCATATAGATGGAAAGAATGCACAGAGTCAGCCATGGTGATGCCTTGAACAAATCAATCTCTCTCTCTCTCTCTGGGACACAACTCAGATGCTAAGAGGTCAGACAAGGCAGCTCCTTCGCTTTTGCTCCTGCATAGGAGTAGATCCTATATATTCTGAGGCCCTTCTCAGACCACAGGTGTTTGTATACACGCTTAATCCTGTGACCACCCAAACGCCTCATGCTTCCTGGCTTGACTAAGCCAGGAGTTTTTCCAGTATTCTCCATAAGGGAGCTTGCTTTTACCTACTTCATATGGAAAGGTGATTACCAAATAAATAAAACAAAAGCCAAGAAAGCGAAAAGGAAGGAAAAATCATTTGAGCACGCACTATACATCAGGTTTTAGACCCAGAAGTTTCATATCTTAAGCCTCACAATACCCCTGAGAGATCAAGAGGTCTTATTTTGATTTTTTTGTTGTGATAGAAAAAGTAATTGAAGATTTCCCTCAACCTTAGGTCTAGCCTAATTCCAAGTCTGTGCCCCCTCCAGGACACAATGCGGGAAATTGGTACAGCTCTATAAGCGGAAGACACTCCATGAGAGCCCTTCTGCTAAGACACCTGCTCACAGTTGGCTCAGTCCGCTACCTGTGAGCCGGTTCCCAGAGAAGAGAACCCTTGTAAGTTGAATTTGACCTGTTCCCCACTGGCTCCTGTTTTAAATTCTTGTCCCTGGCTTGTGGTCCTACTTTAAAAACTATGGAGCCTTCAGAATGTGGGGCTTGGCTTGGTGAAAGTTGCTAGAGTAGGTTTTTAAGGTTATACCCACCCCTGGGTCTAGCCTGAGCTCACTGTTTCCTGTCTCCCCCCAGTTAAATAAGCAACAACCTCATGCTGCTATTATATGTGAGAACCACTTCTGCAACCATGTTTTCACCCTGACATGATAGTTTAAAATTTTTGAAACATACCTCTCCTATCTGATTTTCTCTGTGGGACATTCTGGTCACCAGGACAAGAAAAGTAACTAAGGATAATTGTTATTTTCTTTTTAAACAAAGGCTCAGTTCTATAATCACTTGATGAGAGGTGAGAGCTCACTAGGAGAGTACTTGCCTAGCTGTGTATGAAGCACCAATATGAGGATCTGAATTTGCTTCCTAGAATTTATATAAGAAGCCCAGCACTAGGGTGTCATAGTCACGCAAATTCTTGGGATTCAGTAGACAACCACCCTATCTTAATGGGCAAGCTACAGGCCACCTCAAAATATATACATGATGGGTGCTGGAGAAATGGCTCTTCTGGCAAGGGCACTTGCTCTTCTCTCAGAAGACCAGAGTTTGGTTCGCAGAACCTAAATATGATGGCTCACACCATAACTGCAGCTCCAGGTGATCCAAACCTACCCAGCCAGGTCTCATGTATGTACGCATATACCCCAAAATAAATAAGCCTAAAAGTCAAACAAACAAACAAACAAAAAAACACCAAGATAGGTGGCACCTGAGGAATATCACACCCAAGGTTGACATTTGGCTTCCATAAGTATGTGCATGAACTGGGTATTTTCTCAAAAACAAAACTGAACATGCATATACAGAGAGAAGGTAGGGGTGAGGGAAAGGGAGGGAGGAAGGGAGAGAGGAGGGAGGGAGAAAAGGAAGGGAGAGAGGGAAGGGAGAATAGGAGAGAGGGAGAGAGAGATTAAACAGAGAGCTCATCCCTCCCTTTGGAACTGGATAGCCTCCTTTGAAGCTGAGCCCCATGAGCCAGCATTGGAGCCAGTGGTTCCTAGATCTGCATTCTGGAATCTGAAGCGACTTTTGTGGTGATCCCAGGCCAGTGTTCTTGGCAGGGCTCCCTTGCCTGGCCTGCCCCAGGCTTCCAGCTCCTGAGAAAATCACTCAGTTGCCCTCCTTATAAGTCCTCAGGACCCAATTGCTCTTATTTGCTAGGGCCTCTGGACCACAGAATGGTAGAGATATTTAGGACAATTAGCATCCAAAGGCTACCTGACTCATTGTCCAGTGAGACTCCTCCCTATGAAGTCAGTCTACAGAGGGTAACAAGACTTCTTAGCTCATCTCCACAGATGCCATGTCGTCTCTCAGAGACAGCTTACCTATACCATTTCCTTCCTGCTCGGCTCCATCCTCCTCAGCCTCCAAAGACAAAGCTGGTCTCTTCCTGAACAGCCCTCACATCCTGCACTGCTGTGATTAGATGACCTCTTGGGCTGACCTGCTTCAGGTTAAATGAGTCTATTCATTGAACTTTTCCTTCTCTGAACTATGTACCGCCCCCGTATCAGTTTCCTGGCTCCTTTTCGGATGACCAAGGTGAAGGATAGAATTCAGAAACTGTTCCTTGTGTTGAGGCCCCTCACAAAGTCCCTTCTTTAACTTTATTCTGAGAAGCCAGGCACACGCCATACCCCACTCTTTTAGGAAAAGAACGAATACTCCTTTCATTACTCCTTTCATTGGCTTCACCCTGCTCAATGTATGTGCAACGTAAGGCTTTGAAGAAACCTTGCTCTCGCCAGTGAGAAGCTATGGAGCATATCTGAAGATAATTTATTCAGCTCTGGGTAGGGAGCGTGCTAGCAACAAGTCTATACAATTCCTATCCTTAAGACCCAGAAACTGCCACAAGGAAGGGCTAGTTCCTGCTTCTAATTAATCTATTAACTCCCCTCTTTCCTGACTTGATCGCTCCCCTCCTCTTTCGTGACACACACATATCACTCTTCCATTAATCCATGGCACTTGGAGCTGTCATTGTAGACTCTCCCTTCCAGGTGTCATTTACTGTAATCACCACCGAAAATGAAAGCCATTTTCCAGAAGCCGGGGAGTAGGAGACACTCATTTGTATCCTTTTCAAGTCCTAGATGACTGCCTGATTCCCCAGAGGTCAAATGACAGCAGTGCTTGTCATTTTGCTTCTATCACAGGCCAGACTCTCTCAGCATCCTGGTGGTTGCCTGGGAAGGAGAACATTTAATCCTAGATCTCTTCCCAGGCTCCAGGATGATTGGAAAATGCCCATGGTTTTTTTTTTTGGTTTCTTGGTTTTTTTTTGTTTGTTTTGGGGGTTTTTTGGTTTTGTTTCTTTGTTGTTGTTTTTTTTTGCCTCAATCTGATAAAGAACAATTGACCACATAAGTATTAAACGTAGTCAATCACCAAGATGGACAACAGCATGGTGATACAACTGTATTCAGACTACAGACAAACTGTTGTAGGCCTAGTATTCCGATCTGAATGCAGAATGTCTGCCACAGGCTCCTGTGTTTGAACACTTGGTCTCCAGATGACTGTGCTTTGAGGGGACATTTTAGAACCTTTAGGAGAAGAGATCTACTGAAGGAAATGAATTGAGTGGTGGGGGGGGCAGACCTTGAGGTTTAGAGTCCAGCTCAGCTTCCAGCTCCCCTTCCCAGCCAGTCTCGACATGAACATGCAGCCTCAAGGAGTCCCCCACCATGGTGAAGTGTACCCTCAAACCTCGAGCTTAAATAAATCCTTCCTATTAGATATTCACAGTGACCGAATAGCAGTTTGTCGGGGAAGTTCTATCTGTAGACGAGAGCATGTGAGGAGGTTGAGAGATGCCACTAAGTCCCAGGATGTGCGTGAAAGAGACTCTGGTCAGAGACTTGGGATCTCAAGGGATAAGAAGAAGCCATGATCCCCAGCCTGACCTAGCCCAGGCTTTCCAAACTGGATGGAGAATGTAGCTGCTACTTCTTGAGAACCTACGACACGCACAGGAGGGTGGCAGCACATGGTTTCCCATGATCCAATTCTCTCAGGCAATACATCCTTGGGCAGTGGGATTACCCATCATTCAGAGCTTTTGAAACTCTAGCTCTGAGGTCACAGGGCCCTGGCCTTGGTGCAGGGTCACACAGAAAGCAGGGAAGGTTGAAGTAGAAATTCAGACCTGGGGCTGGAGAGATGGCTCAGCAGTTAAGAGCATTGCCTGCTCTTCCAAAGGTCTTGAGTTCAATTCCCAGCAACCACATGGTGGCTCACAACCATCTGTAATGAAGCCTGGTGTCCTCTTCTGGCCTGCAGACAGAATACTGTATACATAATAAACAAATAAAGAAATATTTTAAAAAAAAAGAAATTCAGACCTGTGGAATTCCTAAGCTGGTCTCAAGAGACTGTTTTAGAGGTGACACTGTGAGGTTACAATAGTGCAGAGCTGATGGCCTCTGGGGACACTCCCTGCCCTGAGATGCTGCTTTGGACAAGTCCACCAGGAGTTCAAGGTCATCTTTGGCTGTGTAGGCTTCTGTGGTTGTTTTGGAAGCACTTCCACGTGAAACGTCTAACTGCCACATGTTGAATTCAGCAACGCTACCTTGGTCTCTCAACCTTCACATAGTCCTGCCAGGTAGTTGAAATAGAAACACTGGGCTCAAAGAGGCCAAGTGACTTAGCCAGGCCATGGCTAGGCACTGAGTAAAAGCATTCCTCGTGAATGCTTACACCATGAGAAACAGAAACAGAACAAAGTTCTGAGAAAGCCTCCCAACTTTGGACAAAGGCCCGTGCTACCTTCAATGCCACATCTGGGTCGTTACTTAAGGCCCATGCTCATATTTCCACAATTGCTAATTACAGGTAGTTGCAAGGGGCTAAAGAATTCAGACCCTTGCCTGGCACTTGTTTAGTGAGATTTGTTTTCATCTGGGTTATGTACTCCAGCGTAACCCTCGGGAGTACATAGGACGAGGCTTCCTGACTCTCCTGCTTGTTCAGTAGGACCAAGCATCATTTATCCAACACTCCTAAAGAAGGAACCATCAAGCCATATCCCCCTGGCTCCCAGATTTTCTCCTGGAGGAACAGTTCTCAGTGACTACAGGCTGTTAGCTGGTTTCTATGGACCTTTCTATAGCTTGCCCTGCCTGTCTCCAGAGAGAATCAAGAACCAGAGGGCCCTTCATGTCAATAGACAAACATGTTTCCTGTCCATGTTAGGAGACATGTTGTCATATCAGGAACTGAGTTACAGCTACTTCAGCTCCCAAAATAAATGTTCTTACAGTAATATTGCATCGCAGCTGCCTTAGTTAAGAGTTTCTATCGCTATAGTGAAACACCATGACCAAAAGAAAGTTGGGGAAGAAAGGGGTTTGCTCAGCTTATGCTTAACACATCATAGTTCATTGTCAAAGGAAGTCAGGACAGGAACTCAAACAGGGCAGGAACCTAGAGGCAGGAGCTGATACAGAGGCCATGGAGGGATGCTGCTTACTGGCTTCCTCATCAATCAATCAATCAATCAATCAGTCAATCCATAAAATCCAGCTGTAAAGCTTTTTTTTTTTTTTTGAGACAGGGCTTCTCTGTGTAACAGGCTGTCCTGGAACTCACTTTGTAGGCCAGGCTAACCTCAAACTCACAGAGATCCCTCTGCCTCCTGAGTGCTGGGATTAGAGGCGTGAGACACCGCCGCGACTGTAAAGCATTTTCAGATAACTCTAGTTAGTACCAAGTTGACAGAAGACTAGCACAACTTATTCCCTTGTCATCTTGACACAAACACATCATTTTAAAACCACAACCTTTTCCTTCTTATTCACCCCCAAGGTCTCACATTAAAATAATAAATAACTTTAAAAGTCCCACAGTCTTTACAAATGCAAAGTTTTCAGCCACGGTCTCCCGTAAAAGAAAAAAAAAATTAAATACTTTTTTATTTCAAGAGGGAAGAACCAGGGCACAGTCACAATCTAATCAAAGCAAAACCACACTACCAACAGTGTGAATAACAGAATGCCCAGTGTCTGGGATCCACTCACTGTTTTCTGGGCTTCTCCAAAGGGCTTGGGTCACTTCTCCAGCTCCGCCCTCTGCAGCACACACAGCTTGTCTTCTGGGCTCTGGCTGGCTCCACTCCACCACTGCTGAAGTTCTTGGTGTTCATTCCATGGTACTGGCATCTCCAAAACACTGGGGTCTTCTGCAACTGGGCTGCACTTTCCCAACAGCCTCTCCTAGGCTCTCTTCACAGTGCCAAGTCTCAACTCGGTATAACCCTTCAGTCCTGGGCCTTCAACCGCCACTGAGGCTGCAGCTTCACCAATGGCCTCTCCTGGCCTCTCTCAGTGCCGAGTCTCAGCTTCTCTCTGTGAAGACTTCACACCGTCAAAACCAGTGCCGCCTGGGTGACTCTTAGGCTACTAACCTTGACCACCTTTGGAACAACTTTTGTATCCTCTCGGGAACGCTTCCCTGAATATTTCACCTCAAACACCTCAATGATTCTGGTCTCTTTATTTTTCCTATTTCACCTCCTCACCCCACCCCGCCTTTGGTTTTTCCTTTCTTTCTTTCTTTCTTTTCTTTTTTTTTTTTTTTTTTTTTGAGACAGAGTTTGGAACTCAATTTATAGACCAGGCTGACCTCAAACTCAGAGAGATCTGCCTGCCTCTGCCTCCCAAGTGCCGGGATTAAAGTTTGTAGACCACTATGTCCAGTATGCCAGGCTCTTCTTAATCAGTATCAATTTTTCAGCTCCAGCCAACCAGCACTGAGTATCCCCGTAAAGCCAAGGTTTCACTTCAGTGGTTCTGATATCGTCTTAATCACAGCTGATTCTTCAGCCCCGGCTAATCAGAACCACGGAGCTTCACACAAAGATCCTCGTAGAGTCTTTGCTTCCCTCTGAAATCTCACAAGCCAGGCTCTATCGGCTGCACTGCTCTTGACACTCAGTGACTTTTCTAGCCCAAAGTTCCAAAGTCCTTCCACAATCCTCCCCAAAACAACATGGCCGTGTCTTCCATAGAAATATCCCAGTATCCTGGCACTAATTCATCTCAGTAGGGTTTCTATTGCCGCGATGAAACACCAAGGCCAAAAGCAAGTTGGGGAGGAAAGGGTTTATTTAGCTTCCACTTCTACACTGTAGTCCATCACTGAAGGAAGGCAGGACAGGAGCTCAGACAGGAGCTCAGGAACATGGAGGCCAGAGCTGATTCAGAGACCACTGAGGGGTGCTGCTTACTGGCTTGTTCCCATGGCTTGCTGTCTGCTTTCCTATAGAACCCGGGACCACCAGGCCAGGGATGGCGCCTCCCACAAGGCTGGGCCCTTCCACATCAATCTCAAATTAAGGAAATGTCCTACAGCTGTGTCTTAAGGGGACCTTTTCTCCACTGAGGTTCCCTCCTCTCCAACAACTCTAGCTTGTGTCAGCCAAGTTGACATAAAGCCAGCCAAGACAACAGCTCACGCCTGTAATCCTAGCCTTGACAAAGCCAGGGCAACATGGTTGCAAGTTTAAGACCAGCTACAAGAGCAAGACTGTGTGTCAAGAAATGTATTTGTTATCTGTGAGCTCCACTCTGCACTGACATTTTACATGTCTTATTCAAGAGGTCATCAGATTGAACAGGTGGGCACTGGTGACAGCAGAGGGTGGAAGAGCGTCTCTAGGGCACAGAGGGGGAAAGGGGACGGAGCAGAATTTGAATCTAGGCCTTGCTGCCCTCCCCCATCTCCAGGCCTGCACCCAAACATCTCAGTTTTAACAGGATATTTATTTGGACCTCCCAAGCCAGCTTTTGTGCCCGCGTGCTCTTGCGTGGTGCTGCAGGTGAGCCGAGACTAGCACATGCACCGGTCAGGGCCTTGGCAAGAGCTGATGACCCAGGAGAATGCGGAGGGCCGCCCTCATTAGGTGCAGGGCTTCACATCAGCTCCACCTGGGCCACACCAGCCTCCATCTTCGTGGTATCGCAAGGTGATTTTGGCAACAGCCACAAACAGCTGTGCTGGGGTAAAGGCGCCACCCTTCCCCCTCCCCACCCCCAGCCTAATGAGAACGAAGCAAAGCTCAGACTGTAATCCACCCGCGGCAGAAGCCAATCATTCCTCCTCGTTACTGAGCGAAGAAATGCCTCTCAGGGCGCCTTTGGCTCCTTACAAACAAAATAAAACAAATCCTTCCTATGGATTTCATTTGCCATTTAATGCAACCTAATGATTTCCAATTGAAACCATATTCATGTTTGTATTGACTTATTAATAGCACATCCATTTTCCACACAATAAAGCCTGAACATGAACTGGTGACTTTGACCAAAATGCATTAGGTAGCATTAAAGATTAAATAAACACTGTTTCTATGAGTAATGTTTAATGTCCTCTATTTGTCAGTCTATTGAAAATTGATCTTTGGGTATTTTGAGCAGGGGTTCCACAGGGTGCATTTTGAACATATTATGAGTCATGACTATGTATTAGGACGTGGAATGTTTTCCAGGCCGTCGGTGGAGCTCGTTACAACTTTAGAATATTCTGGTTAATTTGCACAAATTGTTCCAGTGTTGATGGCAAAAGCCAAATAGTAAAAGGGCAGAACTGAAACACATGTGTGATTGAACAACCACTCAGAAATGGCTCCGAGGGGTATGAGGAACCAGCCTTGTTTTCTCCCTCTGGGTCAGCGGCAGTATCTGCCTACGTGGTTCATCTTGGCTGGTGTTGTCTGGGTGGACTGAGTTCAGAAGTGGGTTCCCTTGCTACTGGAGAAGGGATAAAGCCTGGGGAGACCTTGTCTGCTTCTTGCCGTTCTCATCCTGCACCTATTCTGCAAGGGAAGAGATGGTGTTTTCTCTGGTTTTTGTATTCCCCAGGCTTAAGCGATTTAATACCCAAGAGAAGCATACAGAGCCAGGCCCTGGCAAAGCCCTATAATCCCAGATCGAGCAGATGTTGAAGTAGGAGTGTCGAAAGTTCTAGGCAACCCTAGGCTACTGAGCAAGTTTGAATCGCCTTGACAACTCAGGGAGATCTTATCCTAAAATGAAAGATGAAAAGAAGGCTGGAGCCATAGCTTAGGGGGAAAGCATTTGCCAAGCATACTCAGGGCCATAGGCACAAACCCCCAAAATCTACAGCAAGGAAGGCAGAAAGTAGGTATGATGGTAAAACACCTGTAACCCCAGCACTTGGGAGGTAGATACAGGAGAATCAGGGGTTCAAGTTCAGCCTGGACTACACAAAGCTCTCTCATACATACAAACAAGAAAAAGAGACAGAAGGAAGACTTCAACAGACTGATTGTAATAGTTACAATTACAATAATTTCTACGTATTGAACACCTTCTTAGAACAGTCAAGATGCTAAGTATGTGATACTCAGTACCTCTAATTATCTCACTGTTACCCGAAACAGATTCTTCCCTGTATATACACTAGATGATTTGTCATAGTTGATGTTACCACTGAGACCATTATCTGGGTGCCATAGTTGAACTTGAACTGTCTCCCGACAAGCATGGGAATCAAACACTTGGTTTTTAGCTGGTGATGATATTTTAGAAACATGTTGGAAAGCTTAGAAAGTGGGGGTTCTAGCTGGAGAAAATAGGCCCCTAGGGTGTGTCTTGGAAGGTTATAATAATTCCTCTTCTCTCAGTTTCCTGTCTGAAACAAGACGAAGAACCCCTCTGCCATAGGCTCTCTCCAGCATGATTGTTTTCGGCCTCAGGCCCCATCTTAGTTAGAGTTTCTATTGCTGTAATGCAACCCCATGACCAAAAAGCAAGTTGGGGAGGAAAGGGTTTATTTGGCTTACACTTCAGCATTGCTGTTCATCATCACTGAAGGAAGTCAGGGCAGGATCCCAGAGGCAGGAGGGAATGCAAAGGCCATGGAGGAATGCTGCTTACTGGCTTGCTCCCCATGGCTTGCTCAGCCCACCTTCTTATACAACCCAGGACCGCAACAAGCCCAGGGATGGCACCACCACCCGTAGCCTAGGTCCTCCCCCATTGACCACTAATTGAGAAAATGCCTAACAGCTGGATCTCCTGGAGGCATTTTCTCAACTGGGGCTCCTTCCTCTGATGACTCTAGCTTGTGTCAAGATGACACCAAAACTAGCTGGTACGGGTCCCCAAACTACAAAGCCAAATGATGGCTCAAACTCTCTGAAACTGTGCACCAAAGCCCAGATCTCCTCCTATTAGTTAGAAGTTCCCTTGTCTTTGGTCACAGCAGTAAGAAAGATTACTAACACAAAGGAGCATACTTCTTTACCGAATCTTTTCATCCTCACTATGGAACGGCTAGGTTGGGTAAGTTTTCGCAGGCATTTGCAAATGTAAGTTTAGAACCCTGACAAGTGAGATCATCAGGTGTTTTCTCCCTACCCTGTTTATCTTCCTGCCTTCCCTGTCTCCTTGTATTGGATATATATGTTCTTGGGTAATAAAATATCCTGACAGAAAACAACGTAAGAGAGAAAGGGCTTATTTTAAAGGTACACAATCCATCATGGAAGACATACCTGAAGGGAGAGAAAGCATGGTGGCAGGAACAGGAGGCTGGTTGGTCACATTGCGTCTGTTCACAGGAAGCAGAGAGTGAACAGGAAGTGGGTCCAAGCCATAAAACCTCAAAAGCCAGCTGGTGGTGGCACATGCCTTTAATCCCAGCACTCAGGCAGCTGGATCTCAGAATTCAAGGCCAGTCTGATCTACAGAATGAGTTCCAGGACAGCCAAGACTACATAGAGAAACCCTGTCTCAAAAAAACAAAAACAAAACAACAACAACAAAAAAAATGGGGCTGAAGAGATGACTCAGAGATTAAGAGCACTGGCTGCTCTTCCAGTGGTCCTGAGTTCAATTCCCAGCAACCACATGGTAGCTCACAGCCATCTATAATAGGATCTGGTGCCCTCTTCTGAAATGCAGGCATACTTGGAAGCAGAATGTTGTATACATAATAAATAAATCTTTTTTTTAAAAAAAATTTTCAAATGTGTTGTTTCTTTAAGAAAGAAAGCCCTCATGTCCTGCTCCTAACGACCCACTTCCTCCAGTGCAGCTCCCAGGCTCAACGACCTTTCCAAACATGTCACTGACTGCCTGGGGACCAAGTGTTCAAACACATGCGCCTCAGAGGACATTTCACATCCAACCACAGTACTGCCTCTCATTTGCCTTCCTCTTTGATGATGTATCATTATCCTTCCCATGTACTTTCCAAGCACCCCAAATGCACCCCTCACCTTCTCTTTTTGATGTGAGAGGTCTTCATTATCTTTGGGGGCCAGGCAAGGCAAACCTTGACACTTCTCACTGCAGAACAGTCGGACAGACCCAGGTTGAGGGACTCCCAGGTGTGCACCCTAGAGGGGTACCTGACCTGGGAACAGAAGCAGGCGCTAGAGAGTTGGTTCTCAACCTGTGGGTCTTGTCCCCCTTGGGAGTCACATATCAGGTATCACATATCAGATATTTACATTAGATTCATAACAGTAGCAAAATTACAGTGAGGAAGTAGCAACCAAATAGTTTTATTGTTGGGGGTCATCACAACATGAAGAACTGTATTAAAGTCTTGCAGCCTTAGGAAGGTTGAGAACCACTACTCTAGAGGCTTCCAGTTCTAAGTGATGAGAGAAAGGAGGAAGGAACGCAATGTCTTGGGCAAGGGACAGCCTTGAGAGGTATAAACTGAAGGAGTGACACTGTCTGGTGAACTTGGAGCCCATGAAATGTTCCTGGCAAGAGTCATCTTAACCGCAGTCTTTAAAAGCTGCCAGCCCTATGTCGGTGGCATCTGGCTTCATCTCAGCATGTTGGATCCAGAAAGACCTTTAGCTATGAACTATCTGAATTCATGAGGAAGGCAAGGCAAGGGGACATTAATCCTCTCAGATACCTCTTCTAAGTGATCCCTACTTCCTTGTGGCCAACCTCCCCTTAGAGCTTTCTACTGCCAACATTTCCATTTCCTTCTGTTCTCCCTCTGGTCTAGGCTACAGTCAATGAGGACTGCGTCTCTACCTGGGGCTTCCAGTGTGGTCTAGAAACACCTGTCCCATAGGGAATGGCGTAGACAATGGGCAGGTTGTCGGTTACAGTTGCATACAGACAACTGTATTAGTATTAGTGTGTCTTTTGCCATATGGCTATAGAAACAGGCCACCCAGCCCCAGAACAGCCTTGGGCCTCACCTGTTCCCAGCTCATCACTCCCTCTATGGCCAGTGTTGGAATCCCCACAAAAGGAACTAAAGGAAAACAGAAGCAAAACACGGCCACTGTAATTGTCCAGGCTGTTGTCTAGACTACTCAGAGTGGGCTTGCGTAGGCTTCCACTTGGGAGGTTGGCATCAGTATCTGGATTTCCAGGTCAAGAGCCTGAGACAAGTGATGGAGCTGCTCACAGGCACATAGTAGATAAGAGTCAGTCCTAACATTCGGACCAAAGTAAACCTGCTTCCCCTGCTTTTGGATTCCTGATGCCTGTTTTCTGATAACATTGCTCATGGCTTTGTTCCATACCCTGTTCACCCTCAGGTAACCTTTCCTGCCTGCTAATTCAACAACAAGCAAACACTACAGACCCCACCCTCCCCTTTCTGAACACCTAGAGTCCAATCAGAATGATAATAGGTGGGAGAGGGCTCCCTCATTTCAGGCTTGCCAATTAAGTTTAGGACCAGATTTAAATCCTCTAGCGTGCCTAGTAATTCAGTGTTGAAGAGCTGAACACAACAGGATCCCTGGGAATCTCTGGTCAGTCACTATCACCAATTGGTATGTCCCCAGTAAAAGTGAGAAATTTTGTCTCAAAAGAGCCAAGTGTGTGGCACCTGAGGAATTAAATCGGAAGCTCTCTCTCTCTCTCTCTCTTTCACACACACACACACACACACACACACACACACACACACTGTACATGTGTAGACAAAACACACTGTAAAATAATAACAGGGCTGGTGAGTTGACTCAATCAGTCAAGGCGTTTGCCACCCAGCTTTCCTGCCTGAGTTCGATCCCTGGGACCCACGTGGTAGAGAGAGGGAAGTGACTCCCACCAGATGGTTTCTGAAGTCCACATGCAAACTTCGGTATGCATGCACATGTGCACACACATACACACACACACACACACACACATTCATAAATGTCATAAAATTTATAACAGGCGTTTACTGAGTGACCATTTGGGGTCAGACACTGCTTCACACATGGTTTTAGTCTAGTTTCTGTGGAAGGTCCTTACCATCATCTTCATTTTAAGAGGAGGAAATAGACATGAGACAGGTGGGGTGAGCATGTACCGTGCTCACATGACACGGAGATTAAAGGCCAGCGTTTGGAGCCAGGGCTATTTCCTTTCCTTTCCACCAGAAAACAAGATGGTGAGAGGAGGTGATGCCATGGGGGGATGACCGCCTCACCCCACGTGGCCTGGACGCACCCCAGGTTCTGTTCCTTAGGGAAGCAAGGATGGGTGACTGAAGCCAGGTCTCAGTCCTGAGGGATATTTCACAGACCTGGGGCCAAGGGTCACCTCAGCCAGCTGAATGGTAAGAACCAGAAGGGAC